AACCCATTATTGTTGGATCTTTTTTAATTTTATGTATTTTAACAATTAAAAATATAATATTTAAAATTTTAATAATAATAATTAATAAATTAATTGTATATATTATTTTTTTTCAAATCCCAGGGGGCACCGCCCCCCAATCTAAACATGGCTCCGCCCCTGATAACGAATTACATTGAATCCATTTTGTAAAATAATATTTAAAATTTTAATAATAATAATTAATAAATTAATTGTATATATTATTTTTTAAAAAATCCCAGGGGGCACCGCCCCCCAATCTAAACATGGCTCCGCCCCTGATAACGAATTACATTGAATCCATTTTGTAAAACAGTTTTTAATTGGGTCAATACATATATAGAAGTATATCTTATGACGCCACAGCAGGTAGAAAAGTCTGCGACGTCGTTGGAATCACTGAATTACTAGGAAGCAGTTTAGTCATTTTCTGGGATCATGAAAAAAATAAATAAATAAACACACAACGAATTGGTAAACATTGGGGCATGACGTGTTGTTCGTATTATTGTAGACTAAATAAATAAAATTTAAAGAGATTGGGACAACTAATTTATTGTAATTCTGATATTGTTTAATTTCTTACTTAACAGCTAAGAGAAACATAAGATTAGGCATGGCTTTCTTCATACTAGTGTCAAAACTATCTGAGTATAGATTTATTAATAAATAAGTGTTATTTTATATTTTAAGTTTAAAAATGAGTAAATAAATAATCTAAACCAATATAAAAGGTGTTTTTAAGTAAAAAATCATCCGAAAGGAATTAATCTTTTGACACATGCACAACTAATAAGATTTTTTCTCTTTTTTCTTTTCATGAAAGGATGAAAAATTGATTGATCAAACATAAGGCGGCAAGGGTTATATCTTGATAAATGCCTGTTCTTTGTCTGGTTTTCTTTTCTCGTTTTGTTGTGCATGAAGAATTGTTAAGTGCAACCTGCAATGCAACGTTTGACGACTTTGATGTAATTTGAGCTGCTAATGTACGTATTTCGTCATCATATATAAGGGTTAGAGTAATCCTAATAAATTTGATTTATCGGAAAAAAGATTGATTTTTTTATTTGAAAAGCCAAAATAATAATAATAATAATAAGATTGACCAAAACGGAGGCGGCAGGGTTTACAAATTAATGAACTTATATAGATTTAGTTTAATAATATTGATATGTAGTTATAACTATAGGTTTTTTAATTCTTTAATATCTTTAAAATATATAAAATATATTTAATATTTATTTCAATTAATTTTTTATATACTTTTAAAATAATAAAAAACATAAAAATTAAAAAATAAAATATTAAAAAATATTATCAAACGAACCCATAATATGACCACGTGCATTAGGAGCACTACTAAAAACCCAATCTAAATTTAAGTTTAAAATATGTACCATGCTAAGTATAAGATAACATAATAATTTAATAGTTATAAGAATGTTATAGTTAAGGAAAATTATTGATATATTCTGTAAAGTTATATATTTTATTATATATTGACAGTTTTTATTATTTATACTATTAAAATTGATGATTTTCATTAT